GCAACAAAAGGCAAAACTTTTTTATTTTGGATAGAGTAAGGGAGGGTTATAAGCATTGTTGGTCTTCTTTTTTTTTTTTTTTTTTTTTGGGGGGGGGTTTGCCATCTGTGTCCCATAGCTTAGATCAGCCTTTCTCAACAAGGGTGTCCAGGCCCCCTGGGGATTCTTAAGGTTTCTCAAGGGGTGCCTTGGCAAAATGTCCAAAAATTGGCCAAACCTTCTATGCAAGCCAGTGGGTGGAACAAGCCTGACTTTTAGTTACACAAAACCATAGGTTTTCATTGTGCACCTTTACGACCTTCTAGCCGCTGGCGTCCTGACAACCAGTGACATCAGTTGATAAGGAGGATGTCAGTTGCCTGCACAGCATCTGAGTTCGACCCTCCCCTGTCCCTTTTCCATCAGTGCTGGGGTAACAGTAGCTCAGTGATGGATAAAAACAGGAGAAGAGAAACATTGGAATACTAGTCAGTACCAGTGTGCAAAAATGTATTTGCTTTAGAAGAATAAATCGCCTCTAATGTTGGGTGCCCTACATGTGTGGATGTTGCTGCGTTATATAAAACTGTTAGAATAGTTTTTCCCATTTTAGAATGGGGTGCCTCAAAACTGTCCATAATTTTAAAGGGTGCCTTGACTGAAGAAAGGTTGAGAAACACTGGCTTAGATTCCCCTTTACTTCCTGTCCCATAGCTAAAACAGAAAGTGAGAGGGATATCACTCCAAAGTGAATGAATCCCACTGTTTCACTAGATCTAGTGTCCCCATTGGAAGATTTCCCCTCCTATTACTGTTTTGGTGACAACCAAAAAAATTTGATTTCGCTTTTACTTTCCCTTTCAATGATAACAGTAAACAAGACAAATAGGGGGCGCAGACAGCAATGAAAACTGACCAGTGTTCTAATCCCTCCTCACTCTATCCAAAACTAAAAAAAAAAAAAAAAAAAGTTTTGCCTTTTAAGTTACCATATTTTTTGCTCCATAAGACACAGCTTTTTCCACCCAAAAAATGGGGGGAAATGTCTGTGTGTCTTATGGAGCGGCCAGCCCGGTATTCCCCCATCTCTGCAGCCATGTTAGAATACTGGGCCGGCTGCTCGGCTCTACTGTGCAGAAGAAACCTGCTCCTCGGTCCTACCTGTTCCTCTGTCCAGCGATGTCCTGCTTTCACCAGCCGTCTTCTGTCTCTGGCGCCGGCATCTTCAGTGTGGGCACCCGGCTGTGACACCTTTCGGCCTCACAGCCGGGTGCCCACTGCTAATGCGCGAGAAGCGCTGCGCTTTGTTAATGGCCCCGTAGTCTTCTGGGACCTGTCACGTGTCCCACAAGACTACGAGGAGATCAACTCTGTGGAAATGGGAGCGGGTACCTGACAAATTCGGGTACCTGCTCTCCAAAAGTCTGCAGTCTCTGGTCATCTCCTGTACTATGTCTGCAGCCTCTGGTCATCTCCTGTACTATGTCCGCAGTCTCTGGTCATCCCCTGTACTATGTCCGCAGTCTCTGGTCATCTCCTGTACTATGTCCGCAGTCTCTGGTCATCCCTGTACTGTGTCTGAAGCCTCTGGTCATCCCCTGTACTGTGTCTGAAGCCTCTGGTCATCCCCTGTACTGTGTCTGAAGCCTCTGGTCATCCCCTGTACTGTGTCTGAAGCCTCTGGTCATCCCCTGTACTGTGTCTGAAGCCTCTGGTCATCCCCTGTACTGTGTCTGAAGCCTCTGGTCATCCCCTGTACTGTGTCTGAAGCCTCTGGTCATCTCCTGTACTGTGTCTGAAGCCTCTGGTCATCTCCTGTACTGTGTCTGAAGCCTCTGGTCATCTCCTGTACTGTGTCTGAAGCCTCTGGTCATCTCCTGTACTGTGTCTGAAGCCTCTGGTCATCTCCTGTACTGTGTCCGCAGTCTCTGGTCATCTCCTGTACTATGTCCACAGCCTCTGGTCATCTCTTGTACTATGTCCGCAGTCTCTGGTCATCTCCTGTACTATGTCCGCAGCCTCTGGTCATCTCCTGTAGTACATCTGCAGTCTCTGGTCATCTCCTGTACTATGTCCGCAGTCTCTGGTCATCTCCATGTGCATTGTACATTTCAAGGCAAAAACATCCCAATGAATATTTCACACCAAGAAGTCTACCAAGGTAGTCTGTCTGTGGGTATCAGTTTAGAGAATAGTTATAAGTAAATACAAGTCCTGTAGCTGTCAGAAAATGTTTTTTTTTTTTAAAACCCATTTGAAGGGGAGCAGGACAATTTACAAGATTGCATGAGTGAAGCCAGGTCTGTATTAGTACTCTGCTAGTACAATATAAGTTGGAAATGGAAACTTTATGTCTGCCAATCTCACTTTTGGTCCAATACATTTTTGTTTTTTATTATTTTCATTGGGATTAGTGGTTTGAGAAGCTGGGGTATTTAAAAAAATGGAAAAATTGCATTTGCTAGAGCTGTTTATTTCAATGGAACATGCAGAAAGTTAGTAACAATTTGCAGGTAAGACATTTTTTATAATCTTCCTTGGCTAGGTGTTGGCGTCTGTATAATGTAAATTGCACATAGCTGGTGGACTGTTTAGGAAGCACATTGGAACAAATTATACTGGAGGGTGTCCAGTGCTAGACAATGATACCCATTCATAGACACTCAGTGACTTGGAACAAAGAGGGGTTTCTTCAAGGCTCTTTATATTATGGGAATACTCTTGTTTAGAAAGACACTGGCGTCAGTGTGTTTACAAATGAGAAAACATGAGGGCATAGCAATGTGGACATTTTGCTTTTTTTTCTTTCCTTTTTTTTTTTCCATCCACATTTTGGGCCTCTCCAAGCTGGATATAAATGCTTTCACTCCTCTTCAAATAGTGAATAAAAGGGTTGATTTATAAACAAAAGTGTACCCAAAAAGAAATGCATTGGGCTAGTTGCTAGGAGAATATCTGTCCAAAATATACAGTATTAGTAATTCTTCAGATTTCTCCTTTAAAGTGGTTCGAAACTCAAAACATTTTTTACCTTAAAGTGATTCTAAAGGATTTTTTTTGTGGGGTTTTTTTTTAAATAACAAACATGTCATACGTACTTTGGTTTTGGGAGCAGCAGTGGCAGTGTTGTGGAGGGTGTCACATTTTAGGTAAATAGCTGCAATCGGCAAATTTTTAGCCACTGATTACAGCTATTGGTTTATTCAGAGTCTGCTGAACATTTTTGTTATAAGCTCATAGTCATTTCAGTGACCATGAACCTATAACAAAAGGAGGAATGCCATGTCCTTACAGCTTTCTGACCTAGCCAGCTGGAAGCAGTTCTGTAGGTCAGTACGCCATACTGACCTGGCAGTGAAAGGGTTAATTTTCATCTGGCAGTCCTGCCAGTAACTCCCTGCCCTATGTTGACACTGCACACTCGCCATACAAGCAGCGTTTTCACCAAAGAACAAGTCTATGAACACCACCCCCTCTCCTCTTCTCTATAACTTAGATGAGAAGGGTTCTATATTCCCAAGAGATCTGGGATCAATGTCATTGATAACAATGCAGCACAGACAGAAGTAATCAACTGACAATATTTCTGACAGTATATTATGCACAGATATAGCAAAATTCTTTAAGTGGTTTATTTTACAGCCCAAAGGGAACCTTTATTAAAAGCCTAAGGGCTCATCACATCTGTTCACTTTGACGCATTACATTGAGGCACCCCTTTTATTTAAAATTGGCTGCCCACAGGAAACGGGAGAAGAGGATCTGTTCTCTTCCATCTGGAGCATGTTCCGACACTGTTCTGAATTCCATTCATGGGTTTGCCAGCGATGTCAACCCTCCTCTGGTGGAGCAAGTACACCATCCCTTGTTTCTTCCTCTCCCTCTACTGCTCTCTACTTGTTTCCTTTTTTTTCTCTGTGTGTCCCTTTCCAGTATTACAATATCACCTGATACATTTATCATCCCTTCCGTATAATCTGAGACGTGTTCCCATAATCTCCAATTTCTATGTGTTCTTCTGGGCCGAAGAGCCCGACAACCACTTACTCTTCTATGCCTACAACACATCTTCTATTTCGGGTGTTCTACATTCTCACCTAATTTTGTTAATTCATGTCAACAAAACCTGTATGTATCATAATCTCACTTTAGTAAAAGGTTGTTCGGATACTTGTATGCAGTATCCCACCCTTCTTTGTTACCCGTTTGTTTTACCTGTATTTCCTTGTAATCTCTGTTTCTAAAATTTGCAATGAACTCCGAAAAATGGGCTGCCAATGCACCAGAGTGGACTGGAAAACATGTCTGCAGTATTTTTCTCCAATCACATGTGATTGCATTGTTGTGTGCTGCAACTCTGGTGTTTTGTGAAGCTGTGTTGGGGTGCCATACAAAATGAATGGCACAAAATAGTATCAACAAATGTAATGTGAATGACCACATTACAGTGGTGTGAATGGGTCCGAAGCATGCCTTTGTAGCTGGCAGGACATTCTGGCTTTTGTGGATCCTTGTTTAACCCTCTCTGACCTTCTTTCTACATATCTAGGTGAATCTCCTTTCTGGCTACATTTGAAATATACAATGCAGAAACATCCTTTTCCCTTTGTGTGTTTTCTCTTGGGGAGGGAAGTATTCTACAGCAGAGGTGTAGATAATTGATACTTGCTCAAAGCACAGCAAGCAGTTTACTCAGTTCTGCTACCTGGTTACAATGCTGTTTAGCTCATTACCTTTTTAGAGGCATCATGGTGTGATTACATATAAAATGATGTATATGCAGAGCAGCGATACCCAGGTAGAAATATGCTGTTTAGAGATGACTAGACTGGCCACTTCAAAGTGGAATTTTACCTATAAAAGTATTTAAAGCAAAGCACATTTTACAGCCCACCATTTGCACCTGTCCATACAAACACTATAAACCGTGACCTCATTAAAATGCAACAGTAGAAGTGTCCTATTGCCTGCATAGTTCCAAACTTCTAAATTTCTCTTTGCTTTACAGGCGAGATTTCCTGATGGGCCAGACACACTTTTTCCATTTTGGGAGTTCTGCACGGTTAATCACGGAGACTGACATCACCATGACAAGCGGCAAATTTTGTTGGAGACCGTCATTGTTCGTCATTCTTTTGTTTTCTTTGGCAACGGCAATAAACTCAGCAGAGACTAATAATCATATTGCCAATACTTCCGAGGCACTGGATACATTACCTGTGGTCACATCAATAGTAGATCATATCATTGTGAAAGAAGGGAACAGTGTGGTCATTCACTGCAATATTGAGGGACACCCCGATCCTCATTTTCAGTGGTACAACTCTAATGGACATCTACTTAAAGAGGAAAATGGTAAGCTTACTTAATAAATGCATCCAAATAGCGCACTGCTGTCATCTTTCTCCTAGTCTCTCCATTTTAGTCCATTTAGAAAGCAGTATAGAATGCAAACTAAAGGAAGCTGCAACCAGTGAAGAAGAACATTCAACAGAGGCATACTTTTAAATTCCTCACACTGTGCTTCCAAATAGTAATTAATCAACAATCATATCATGTACTGTATGTGTGCACCCTTCCTGTTTGACTCACAAGTCACGATAAACAAGCTGAACGTTTCTCACTTTGAACAACAGATAAGTCTATGCTCTGTACATCTATGAAAATGTCCCTGGATTTTTACATTATGTGATCATATGACATGGGTGCTGTCAGTAATCCGGATATGACCAGAGATGTGTGGATTGACACAGGGAATATCAGACTTCAGGAGTGATGTGGATAATATAATTTATTGTGAGATACACCAGTAAACAAAAACACACAGTACAAACAAAAACCAAATAACCAAACCTTCACCCAATATATATACTGTATGTACAGAAATAAAAGCATAGTCAGGGCTGGAGAGGTAGAATGGTCAAGCAGGCCGGGTCAGGATCAATCGAGCGGATCAGGTACAGAGGAGTAGGCAAACGGATAGTCAAAGGGAGAGCTGGGTCGGTGCAGTTCAGTCGTAATCAGAGTTAAGCAAGTACATCACAGGAGTCAGGATACAGATACAGGACAGCAAAGGCTCATGGGAAAACAAACACCAAGGCACTGGTTACAGGCCTGATTACTGTTTAGGTACACCTCCTGCAATCAGCCTCAGGTGATGGCTTAATTGCAGGAGGTGAGATCCTGGCTGCTGAAAGGCACTTGCTGGTAAGTCCCGGTACTGCAGCCCAGAGAGCAGGTGAGCCACAGCACCACCAGCAGTGAGCCCTTTCCTGACAGGTGCTCAACCTGTGGCCCTCCAGCTGTTGTGGAACTACAAAATCCCATGAGACATTGCAAGGCTGACAAGTACAAGCATGATTCCCAAAGGCAGAGGCATGATGAGACTTGTGGTTCTGCAACAGCTGGAGGGCCACACTTTGAGCACCCATGTCATGATATGATACAGGGATGGATGAGGTAATGGCCTGTAAGCTAAGTTTAGCTAAGCTAAATTTTCTGGGTTTTTTGTTTTTTTTTTGAACATTCAGCCAGTTTTTTAACGGTTAGTGGGGTCAAATTGATGTTCCTTTTTGACTAGTTATGGGCAGTTGCAAAGCAGGAGCACAGTAGAATTTGTTTCTCACACTAACTGTTAAAGTGGTTTTTGTTTGTGAAAAAATCATATATTTTTATGATGAAACCTGTTTAAAGTAGAACTATAGGCAAAACTTTTTTTAATTTTGGCTAGAGCAAGGGAGTTATTACCCTGCTTCAGATTTTTTTTTTTTTTGCCATCTGTGTCCTATTTAGAAGATTTACATTTAACCTGTTACACCCAGAAGTTGGGTTTAATATGTAACATGTTTAGAAAGGTAAACTTATCCTTTTAAACTATATTTCACCTATTATTTAGTAATAATACTGGCATGGAATCTAGAGCAGACATCCTAGGTGCTTGGAACAAACAGCATTTCCAATCATTAGTCTATTATGTACCTTAATCACAACCTATTTTTTTATAACCCATACTATTAAATGTTACTGCATCTATCACCCACATATCTTACTACACCATTGCTTGAGCCGTACTATGTTTTAGACATGGGCCCATGCGCACAGCTGCGTTTACATCAGTAAAACTGAGCTGTGTAAAGATCCGTAAAATCAAAATAGAAAAAGCTGTGTCATTTACGCATGTACATATCTACACAATTGTAAATGCATGTACGTGCTTACATGCATACATTTTAGCTGGAGAATATGACATGTAAGTTTACATGCCTAAATGCGTGTTTACTAAGCACTTTACTGACCATTTGATGAGTGTTTGTTCTGGTTTTTTTTTTTTATGCAGGACCTTGCTGCCAGCCTCTTTCTTCCTAGATATTAGTAAATTATGGCAGTTAAATGGATTAAATTGCTACAATACTTCTGGAGTCCCTGACTCAGAAAAAGTGTAGGGAATTTTATTCCCTGACCACCAACATTCCCCACCAAATCCACCCACTGGCCATCTTACCGAGTCCTTCAGTGCACCCACTTTTGTTTTAACACAACTCTTACAACTTAATATATCCTCCATCCCATGTCCTCCTAATCCTCCTCTAGTCCCATTTGCTCCTCCTCTCCAGTAGGGGGACATCTGTTGACATTTTTGCCAGTCTGGATTAATAACATTCTGGACCTCTGGGTCCAGTCTGTCATTTTCAAGGGCTGCAAAATAGAAATTCTATCATGCCCCCTCCAATCTGCCAGCTTCACCACAAAGATGGGCAGATTTGTTGGCTGCCCTGAATCAGCATCAGGCAAGGAGTGGTAGTCCAGTTGCACCAGAGCAAAGTTTCAAGGGATTTTACTGAAACCTATTTACAGTCCCAAAATTGAGTGAAGGTATTTGCCCCATTTTGGACCCGAAATCCCTAAACTGATATGTGTATCCCCAAATTCCCCATTGAGCTGTTGTCATGTCTCTCCAGATCCTGGCATCAGTGGACATGCAAGATGCCTTGCTTCATATTACCGTATTTCCCACACACCAACACTTTCTACACAATAAGAGTGCTTATTGTCCCTGTTAAATTGTCAGGGCCTTATTTGTCACTGGGTACCTGGATGAACTTTTGCTGAAAGATTCCTCAGCCCCAGTCTTGTCGTCCTATATCCAAAAGCCAATCCAGTTAATTTTAAACTTTCAGATACTTGATCAACGTGATCATATCTGCCCTCCAGCCTTGCTGTTGCCTGGAGTATTTGGGGCTAATCTTGGACACGACCAAGGCCAACATTTTCCTATCGTAGGAAAAGACTGCTTCTCTGAGATCCAGCTGTTGGAATTTGCAGGTCAGTCAGGCAGGCATCCATCACCTCGATTTTGCATAATGCTTCTGGGCCTCATGGTGGCCTCCTTTTCGTGTCTGTTCTTTTTGCTCCATTCTACTCAAGACCTTTGCAGCTCAACAGGCAGGTCCTTTTCTTGGGATCGCCCATTTCTGCTGTCCAACTAGATTAAAATCTCCTTGACATGGTGGATTTCTGACTCAGAGTCCAGAGAATCCATCCTTCCCTGTCCCGCGAAGGTGGTAAGCATGGCTGCATGCTTGGGGCGAGGTTTACAATGCCCTGAATGTCCAGGAAATATGGTCTTCAGGAGTTGATGCTCCCAATCAACATTCTGGCAAGCCGTAAGACTGACTCTCCTACACTGGACCCTTCTCCTACATGGTCCCCCAGTCATGCTGCAGACAAGACAGACAATGCCATGGCTGTGGCCTACAATAACCATCAAGGAGATACCAAAAGTCCATCAGCCCTGAAAGAAGGAAGCCTAATTTCTCTCTTGTGCGGAAAACCAGATTCCAACTCTGTCTGTCTGGTCTTGTCATGCACAAACCAGGCATGAGAAATTAGCACTTAGTTAGGGGTGCTAACTTAGTTAACATTGTTTGGGCTCAGGAGACTGGTCTCTTCACCAGAACGTTTTTCAGGACCTCATGTCCTAAGTGGTGAACAACAGATATGGCCTCCTGTCTTCCTTATTCAACATCAAACTGAGCAAGTTTGTCTCCAGGTACAGGGATTGTTTATCCAAAGCAGTGGATGATGCTCTTCTGACTCTGTGGGGTCAGTTCAGTTTGATTTACACCTTACCTCCTCTGAAGCTCATTCCTCAACTGCTCTAAAAAATTCAGAAGAGGGGATTCTAGTGCTACATCGCACTGGACTGTCCCAAGCAGATGTGGTACTCGGACCTCATTAGACTACTTGCAGACTCTCGTTGGGCTTTTCGAGGTCACCCAGATTCCTTGTCGTAAGGATTGGCTTACCACCTTGCTTCGTGGTATCTGGCTTTAAATTGTGTGACTGTTGAAGTCCAAGTCCAGTTCTCTGGTGGACAGCAGCTTAACCCTGTTGTCTCAGAATTACTTCTGACCTTGTGTCCCTAAACACCCCCCAAAAAAAAGAATTTTACAGCAAGTCAAAAATCTCGTTTTCATTAACATTGTCAACCTCTGATAAAAGTTAGGTCCCAGCTGTTACATTGCTATGGGATGCATTTTCTGCCTTGTGCTAAGGATTAGCCATCCACTGCATGACTGTGTGGAAGTCACAGATCTGTGTTCTTTAGCATGCTGATGAGACTTGTCTACGTTAATCACAGAAACACTCTTTTAATGGGGTGAAAGAATTTCCTGTGTTATCTAGTCTGACAATTTGTTATGAGCCAAAAACATATCATGTATTAAGCAACAAAACCTTCTCCACTTTCAAGGAAAGCTAGAGTATTTGGTGAGCACCTTTTTATTAGTCATTATGTAAAAAATTTAATAATATAAGTTATTTTAAGGAATGTAGACTTAGGGGGTTTTCTGTTGGAGATCATCTGTTTTGTTCTGCATCTTGCAGTACATGGGAGTCCTATAACTTTCAAGGCTATGTCTGTGCGATTTTATTTATGTATTCTATTTTTTTAATAAATACACAATTGACATGTTTCACAACAACCATTTAATACATCTAACTGTTTCACCCCCACATTTCATCCCAGAGAGAGCTTTTCCACCTACCTGAAACAGGAAACATACAGTTGCAAGAAAAAGTATGTGAACCCCTTGGGATTACGTGGAGTTTTGCATGAATTGGGCATAAAATGTGCTCTGAACGTCATCTAAGTCACAACAATAGAAGAACACAGTCTGCTGAACATAATACTACACAAACATTAGATGTTGCCATGGTTTAATTGCACATAACATGTTAACATTCACAGTGCAGGGAGGAAAAAGTATGTGAGGCCCTAGCTTAATGACTTCTCCCAGAGCTAATTGGAGCCAGGAGTGAGCCAACCTTGACTCCAATCAGTGTGATGATATTGG